GCAGTTTTGTGATAGTTGCATTGTAGTGTTTTTGTTACCATAAACTGTCTCCTATGTTTAAAGCCTTCTGATAGGTGTTATGTTTGCTTTTCCTTATTTGCTGTACATTTTAAAAATATTTTTGTCATTTAAACATTTGCTCATTTCTTAAGTCCTATAGTCTGTTGTTTATAGAGTAAAAGTGTGAATGCAGTGAGGAAATGTGCCAGTTACCCCCCTTGCTTGCTGTCTGCAATGATTCTGGCTCCATGCCCCTCCTGGGGCACAGAGCATGTGGACACTCTGGTCTCTGCTTTGCCACGGAGCAGTGGGTGCAGCAGCTCTAGCCCTGAGATGCCAGAGTTGCTGCCTCTTGTCACCACTGCTGTACAGCTGGGCTTGGCCAGAGCTTCCATGTGCTCTGTGCTCCAGGAGGGAATGGACAGTAAGCAGTGTTGGGAGGAAGGCACTGGTAAGTGCAGGCCTGTAGGTGGGGAGGCAGCTGGCAGGGGGAGGCTGCAGGGAGTGCAGGCACTGCAGAGTTGGGGGGGGCAGGTGGTAGGAGGGAACAAGTGGTGAGGTGGTGGGGGTAAAGGGGCTGTCTGCCCCACTCTGCCACATACCTCTCCTTTTCTCCTTTTCCCATTGCACCAATTGCAAGGGAGGGGGGGGAGAGGTGGAGGAGGGGGGCAGATTTAAGATGACCTTCTAGTAATTAGATTCTATGCATGGAAATTTATAACAAATTTATAAATTTTCTATATATAGAATCCATTTGTTGGGGTTTTTTCTTCAATTTGAAGTCTTCATGGATTCAGGCAAATAAAGCAAAATAAAGAACTATAGTAACCTAAGCTTAGTTCCTCTGAATGTACCATAAATGGATTGGCTTCTGTCTTTCTTTGAAGGCATTAGAATCTTGAAGCATAATTAAGAGGGTTTTTGGCAAAGGTTAGATTTGTTTCCTAAAAGTACGTCTGAAACCTGGTGGAGGCAGGAAGATAAGTGACAGTAGAAACATGGCAAGTGCTATAGTTGTAATATGATTATAGTGAAATACACATTGTATCAAAAAACTGGGATAAGAGCTTTCTTTGTGATGCTGTCCCAGGCACTGCTAAAGTCTGATCTGCAGGGACTAAAAAAAGGGTGTTTCAGTTTTGGGCACTGGTCCACAAGCGCTGTGTCCACACATAGTGTTTTTTATTTGTTTGGGGGGCATGGGAGAGGGTTATAAAGTAGGGTTTTGAGTTTTTTAGTTTTATTTTGTTTGGGGACAAGGGATATCAATAAAGAAAGTTGCACCAAATATATATATAACCTAGGAAAAAATGCATTGATATCAAGCAAAACCAGAGTTTCACAAGCTCTGTAATAGTGTGTCCATTTAAGCTCATTTTTTTCTAACTTGTAAACCTCAGCTGGTGGTCCAGCAAAAACTGCTATTAGACACTTGGCTGCCAGAGTCTCTGCCCAGCAAAATGGACACAAACCTGTGCAAGTATTTGCCCATATTTATTTTACATGAAACAGGATAACTGTACACCTCCAGAACATGAGAAAAGGGGTTGCAAATAAACACTGTAAATAACTGCTGTACCTGCTAATGCCCTCAGACCCTGCTG